TGCATCCTGAAGTGGTGAAGGGTGTCCTGAAGTGGTCAAGTGAGAGTTTTGGGCAGTCTGAAAATCCTGAATGGTCCTGAAGTGGTGAAAGGTCCAAAGACCATGAAAACCACCCTTTACCACTTGAGGATGCAGCCTGCTTAAGGGTCTTCGGAGATTTCACCACTTCAGGATCATTCAGGATTTTCAGACTTGAATGGTCCTGAAGTGGTGAAAGGTCCGAAGACCCTGAAAACCACTTGTTTAGGCAGGCTGCATCCTGAAGTGGTGAAGGGTGTCCTGAAGTGGTGATGAAAAATACGACTGTTAACCTTCTCTCGTGTGTGTGTGTGTGCATGTGTGTGTCTTGTTAACTGTTCATGGAAGGGAGAAAAGGACAAGAAGGGCTGGGTTGCAACAGGTCATCTCATTGGACTTTCAACAACTGATCATGACGCTGAACCCTTGACAGTCTGCAGAATCCATTACTGATGCTCTAGGCCATAACAGCATCCTTTAACTAAAGAAATGAAAGTGTGCTATCCCTACCCTTGTCAGATGCCACCCTGTTCATACCGCCATTTCACTGTTCATGGAAGGGAAGAAAGGACAAGGAGGGCTGGGCTGCGAAAGGTCACTTGATCAGACTCTCACCAAGTCGCCGCGAGGCTGAACACTTGACAGTCTGCAGAATCCACTATCGATGATTTAACCCATAACAATGTCCAGTAAACCACCAGTCCATCCGATGCAAAATTGACGAACGAAAAAATGAATTTTGGCGAACCTCTTTACCCTTGCTGTTATCTCGCTTCTCCGTGTTGATACCCTTTCCCTTTACTCTGGTGCTTTCTCACAACGCACAAGTGGGCCGTTATGGCACACCGGAACACTCTTTTAGTTCATAAATATGTGACAATATGTATACCGATGGTTGAGCCTTTTCTTATCCTCTCCTTTGCCTTCATCTTCGTTCCACATTCCATACCTTCCCTTACCTTCCCTTTGTCGTTCTTTGTTTTGTCTTCTCTCCATCTCTCTTCTCTGTGTTTATCCCCTTCCCTTTACTCTGCCTCATTCTCACAGCGTACAAGTGAGCTGTTATGGCACACAGAGATGTGCACAGCTCAACTTCATCAACGTGGTGAGCCTTGCACGTCAGAGGCACGGTGAAGGGGAGTTAAAAAGAAGAATGAGAAAAGTGAATGGTTTTGGTGTGCTCTTCGTGTTTCTCTTGTGCTATTTTCATTTTTTTCCGTTTGTTTCGCAGAGTGCGCTCTTTTAGCTCATAGATGAGTCGGTGAAACTCTGGTGAAACAGTTTGTCACAGTCCCTCGTTTGTTGTCCTCTTCTCCCTGTCTACCTACGGTTTACCGTAGGCAGTTCTGCTTGACAATAACAAACAGTTTGTCACAGCCCCTCGTTTGTTGTCCTCTTCTCCCTCTTCTCCCTCTTCTCCCTCTCTGTCCACAGTTTACTGGGCAGTTCTGTTTCACGATACATACTGTAATATACAATGTTCTTTCCTTTTCCTAATCCTGGGATCTAACTGAGTGAGAAGCTTGCAGCCTTGCAGAAACTCCGAGGAAATCATGAGCAATCCTTTCTTTTCATTCTCTCCCCTCCCCTCCCCCCCAACCCCCACCCCACCCGCTCCACCTCTTGAGAAGTCCAGGAGAAGGTAAATCACAATTTTCTGAAGCCTATGGTGAGTATGACGGGATTGGCTTTGTGATGATGATTTTACAGACCTTGTCATTCTACCGTATCAGTCATTGCTTCACAAGAGCACAAGAGAATCGCTGGGTGTTAAGTTAAAAGACTCCGTAGTCATCTTTGATGAGGCTCACAATCTCGTCGACACGGTTGCAGCCATCCACAGTTATCAAGTGTCAGGCCTGCAGGTACGACTTCACTATCGCAGGTCCTTTTTTTCCCTTTCCTATTTCCCCTGTGCTATTTTCCCTTCTGTATCCCTCTGCTTCAGTAGGGGGCTCATGGCCAAAATCTCCGAGTTCCTACTTCGGAGCTGCTCCGCCACAGTCCACTGTTCGGAGTGAGGGATCTTCACATTAGGATTGACACGCTGTGTATGCGAGAGAGGCCCCTCTCTCTTTCATCACGCTCTGACTGCATGCTCTGTGTGTCTGTTATTTAGCTTGAGAGAGAGAGAGAGAGAGAGAGAGAGAGAGAGAGAGAGAGAGAGAGAGAGAGAGAGAGAAGGAATCTCTCCTGTGGCACTCACACAATTGATGCACAGTGCACGCTGGTCAGCTAGCCACATGTAGATTCTCTGCAGTGTGTGTGTCTGCTGCTTGTGTTACGCTCATGATTACAAGTGCAGGGCTGATATTCATCGTTATGACCTAATGTAACCACCACTGGCATTATCAGCGCACACGCACACGGTGGGTGTGTGGGCACCTCCCGCCCAACCACTCAAACGTGGGGAACCTTGCACCTTCTATTATGGGTGGTTTGTGATGGTATGTGGATGGAATGAGAGAGAGAGAGAGTTTGGGGATGTTGACAAATACGCGCAGTGAAGGTTATCGCCGCCAGGGCGATCTGTTGCAGACCAAATCTTGCAACAGCTAACCCCCCTTACTTTGGATCAGGCCTCGTCATCACCTGCCATAAGACTTTGTGTTCCTATGTGTGATGACAGTCAACATTGTACTCGTTCATGTACGACACCCTGACATGGTATGTCCTATTTATAGGCAGGGGCTGAATAGCAATGCCTATAGAAATGCCGTCTGAGTCCCCTTGTGTTCCTATAGCATGTGGGAGCCATGTAGCCTGTGAGATCTGTCTACGCGGTGCCATTCGATGCAGCAACTGCAACTGCGAGAATTGGATGCGGTGCTTCCACGGTCTATACTATACGTGAACCCCGGCCCTGTCCAGTGCTGCAGCTGTGGCCACTTACCGTAGGCAATGCCGCCTCCTCATTTTTCTCGGCAACCGAAACACTGACTGAGCTCTTGTGCCATTCCATAGTAGTCTGCTCTGGCGGTGAGTATTGAGGACCTTTTGAAGTTTGTTCTTTGCCCCTCCACTTTTCCCTCCTCTTCCCCTTCTACCCCCGCCCTCCCTGAGAACTCTGTGATTCGTCTTTCCTCTCATCAGTTCTTTGTGTCCACCTCCTTCCTCTTCCCCTACTCCTCCATCCCTCCCTTAATGCAAAAGAATGAGCATCATTAAGAGAACAGACAAAATATAAGGTGAAGGTGTGCTGAAAAACCGACCCGAGTATACCCTCCCCTGTACTGTGCCTCCTGTTCACAGCGTGCAAGTGGGCTGTTATGGCACCCTGCCATGGGGTCAGCTCGGGCTCAACCACAGTGAACATGGCGAGCCCTGTACATGAGGGGCACAGTAAAAAGGGAGTTACAAGAAGAGTAAAAGAGGAAATCCGAAAAGAAGATGAAGAAAGGAAAGCAAAGAAAGAACAACACAAGGAAAAGGCAATGTAATGGTGGTCGTGGTAAAGCTGTTTCAGTCTGGATCTACTCATGTGGGAGGAAAGAGGTGGTTGTGGTGACAGTTAACAACACACAGACACTAACCGCCTCAGTTGGCGAAAGTCAGATGAAACAGTCGGGCGCTGGCATGCTTTTCTGTGGACGCACGTATAGCAAACATGACAAAGTAGACACACTGCGACACTGTCTCATTCCTGTGAATGTAGTGTGGAAAACACACACACCAAGAACCGTCATGTCATCTGCAGCAAAAAAGGGAAGGTGCAAGTTCCCCCAGATCTGTGTGGTTCAGCAGGGAGTGCCCAGGCATTTCAGTCAATAGGCACCTTGGGTTTAAGAACAAAAAATTAGAGGACACACTCCCAGCAAGGGGCAGCCCAAGGTAGCACAGCACAGAAATGACACCAGGACCTGTCATCAGGTCGCCAAGCCGACAGAAAAGCACAGACGTACTCCCTTGCAGCTCAACTACGACCTAGTATCGGTAGTAGAGGTAAAAATTCCACCCCGTAACCCCTTGAACCCCTTGAACCCCTTGAAAGTTTGCAACCCCCACACGTCACTGGAATCATTTCGGTGTGAAGCACCCTGACACTGCCTAGCCATGCACTGGAAAACTTTGGCCCATGCCCCCACAGAAATTTTACCTTGTAGCACGCACGCTGTGAGCCGGTTAACGCATGCTACACAACTACAGAGATCAATCACAGACCTGCAGCACTGGGCCAGAACCCGGAACCTTCATGTGATATCCGGAACTTCACTGCCTAAATGACCGTGCCCCACTCATAACGGATGCTCAGGAAAAATACTGCCTAGGGGTATGGTGCCCGGAGGACAATCTCTCTCGGGCCACTCACGAAGAATGCCTCAGCACCACCCTGTCCATCATGGAAAACCAACCTCTGTCAATCCATCCACAAAAAAAAACCGATGTACATTGTACATGCAGTAGCTAGCAAAGGGAATATGAAAGTTACCGATTCACAATGGGATACACAGCCAACCCTCAGCACCTTCAAACAGAAACATGAAAGAATTGCCTGCTAGACTCGGCGAGTACAGGCCTGATCCTATCTTCTCAATCCTGCAGTGTTAATAGTCAGCATGGCCAGATATTGTGTGTGTGTGTGCGTGTGTGTGTGTGTGTGTGTGTGTGTGGTGTGTGTGTGTGTGTG